AATTCATGTTTCAGAGTATTTTTCAATAAAAAGCCACCGAAAAAAAAGCGTTAAAAATTATTATGTGTTCGCATGTAAAATTGAGCAGCGAACGCAATTTTGAATCATGTCATTGAATAAATAATGGCAATAAAAATGCTACATTTTTACAACATAGTAACGGGAGCAGCACAGAGAGAGAGAGAGAGAATAAGAAAAAAACGGTCGTTTCGATATGCGTGAAACACATTCCATTCGCATGTTTTTTTATCGACTGCTTTATTTTTTTCTGTCTTCTTTTTCTCGTTGGAGCGATGAATTTGTGTGCAGCAAATGTTGCAAACTGTGTGGCATACATGACGTGTGTGGAGCACGATGATACCGTCTCAACATTTCGAATAATATCGATAAAAGGTGTTTTGATGTGAGCGCGTCCTCGATAAATCGAGATCCACGTACAAATTTTTCTTCCATTCAATTCGTTCTCTTCCCCATCTCTGTGTGTTGGTATGTTTACAATTTGTGCTTGGTTACACCCGTGCATGTCGTTGAAGCGCCAGCCATTAAGACAAAGTATGGCAAATATAAGTGCAAATAATAATTCATGTGTGTCTGTCGAAATGAAATGATTTCGTACGTACGCAAAAAGTTGAAAGTCGTCGATTTTCTTTCCCTTTCTGTTTGCATCCATTCATTCGTTTGTTCGTTCGTTTGGCTGGAGTTTGGCGTCATCATCATCTTTTTATTAGGTATGACAGGATGGTTTCTCTTTTTTCCAGTTAAAGAGAGGCACTTTTCCAGCGCCGTATTCTATTCATCATTTTCGATGCGATGACACAGTCACAAGAAAACGCGCTTAAATACAAGTGTCTCCATTGAACAAATATTTTTCTTTTGAAAGCAACACACACATACAAAAAAAATGGTATCTCATCGATTATGTCGGATTCGTATTGTGTGTCGAAAATAAAAGAAGAAAAACATCCTTTCCCATTTCTATTAACCTCGAATCGAATACACTCATCATGGCACTTTTGTTTCCTTCCCCAAATATTCGCTTTCCCCGAACACAAGGAAAAAAACAAAATGAGCTTATTAATTACGGAATAAATTCCCATTTTTTTTCGTGAATCGCCCTTTTGCTCTCTCTCTCTCTCTCTCTCTCTCTCTCACTCTCTCTCTCTCACTCTCTCTCTCTCTCGGGTATTTATTCAATTTACGTGTTAAATGTTTAATGTTTTTGTGTCGTTCGAAGATAGCGCAAAAAAGCGCCAGCGCAAATGTTGGTCGGCTAGAAAAATTAAAACCCATCGCAAAAGTGCTAGCGACATTTTAGTAATAACTAATAGGTTCACGTCCATTTGAAAGATGCCATAAAAGATGCTTGATTCAGCAAGCGAGCTGCTTTTTTTTTCTTGTGCTTTTCATAGCACTTGACACACACACACACACACACACACACACACACACACACACACTTTCTTCAATATCGGTTTGAGAATTTTCAGACTGTTCTGTCTGAAGCATAAATTAGGAATAACGAATCCGAAACACGTTCCCATCATTAATAAACAAAATCGCATTTCCACTTGCAATGGAAGTGTGACATAGATCACAGAGTGGCTTAAATACATACATACACACACACATACACTGAACAAGCGACTCTTACATTTTATTTGGATTGTTCACTTTTTGCCTTACCATTTTCATTAGATGAAATTATTTTGCTGTCTCATGAGTGATTTCTTCTCTTTTTTTTCCTTTTCTCTGCGCGTGTGTTTGCCATTCGGTGATGCCATTAAAGTGCTCTTCGTATTTTTTTTTTATTGAAAGGAACATCTTCAGTGATTCTATTTATATTTTTCAGCTCATTTCCGCGACACTTAAGTATAAAAGCATTTTTTTTTCACTTCGTTTTTCTTTTCTCAATCGAATATTGATCGAAAAAATAAATTGTACTTATCAAGAGAGAGAAAAAATGATCCTAGTGCTGAAGAAAATGAAGAACGGTTCTCGTGTTTCAGGCAGTTTATTTTTGTTGGTACATTTCCGTGACAACGCAATTAATAATTGGGCAGAAAAGTACAGAGAATCAATATGGCTTTCGAATTTTCAACGAAGATGTTCAGTTGAAAGTGAGCAATTTATGGCTGCCAACAACAATCGCCAGTTTCCACGGAATAACAACATTTTTGAAAAGGGGGTGACGATGAGCGGACATTGTATGTTTGGTCAACATGACATGTTTGCTGTGTGCAGCTTTTCAATTTGAAAACACATCGAATTCATTGTGTGTCAATCGATCCACATTGATATATGTTATTATTGATGAGCTGAGCCTGATTTCATTGGAACATATGCGTATGTGACGCTTTAATTGGCCATATTATCTCTGCATCGCCAAACATATTGCGAAAATGACATGGCAAATCATACGAATGAAAAAATTTAGCTCTGATTACAAATAGCTATGTCTCTGACTTACCTTATCGAATAACATCTTGACATCACGTTAACGAAACTCATTAAAAACGTAAGAGCACACCGAATGAAGGGAAACAAAATATTAACTTCTTATGTTTCGCACTTTTTCCTTTCTACACAGCGAGTGCGAATGAAAGATACTTTGGTTGATTGGTTGTCGTTGTTGACAATCTCTAATCCGGCTCACCATCGTCGCTCTTGCTATCGCTATAACACACCAATAATGATCCAAGTGAGAATACTTTTGATAAGAAAACTTCTCAATTAAGATTGATTGATTGCCCATAAAATGTGCTGTAGCCGGTCGTTCGGTCATTTCGGTCCAAGTACCAACTCAAACATACCATCGCACAAACTTTTGCACAAAACTTCAACTTTATTTATTTGATCAACAGCACTAAACTTTATGTGGAAGTTTTTTTTTATTCGCCGTGCATGCATGTAATAAATATCGGGAAAATGCCAAAGTTATTATTTATCGATTATTATACGTTCAGTCAGTGTTTTCGTGTTTGTTTTTTTTTTCCGCTTCCATTCGTTCGATCATTTTAATTACGTTGAAATTTAAATGTTTGCAATTTTGAAAAGATATTGTCGATTTTAATACATGTTGAATTGTGTTTATCAGCACATATTGATTCGGTCGAGTTTGCATTAGCCAATTCGGATATGTGCTGAGCGGATATGTGGATTTGCGGTTTTTGTGTACAGCACATCAATATGTGATGATGGCCCTGGTTTTGGCTTCCAAAATGCACTCGCATTGCTTTTTGCTGGCTAAACTTTCACATTAGATTTCGAAATTCACACAAATATTCAATCGAACGGGAAATTAGCTCTGAATGAGAATTCAATTCCAATCAATAAAAAACGGTTTGATGAGACCGAAAAGAGAGAACGTTCAATGAACGTTTTTTATTCCATGCGAATAAATATTCGGAAAATCAAGGGCTGTGTTGTGTTACTCCTTCCTTCTTTATCAATTAAATATTCGTTTTCAATTGATTTTACTGTTCGTTTGCTGTGACGAACATTTATTACTATGTGCAGTAAAGATGTCTTCTAAGAAGACTTATACCTTTGAAAACAAAGCAAAGATAGTCATGAACATTTTCCCGTTCTTATCCAAACAATTTCCATTTTATGAACCTCGTTCAAAACTCCCAAACATTAGTCTGAATATATATTCCCTGAAATTGAGGTTGAGCATGAAATTCAAGCGTTTTCGAAGTTAATGACTAATGAAACTTAAATAGATATGCGTTGCTTTATTGATATGCCTTGAGCTAAATCTTAATAAATTACCTTCTAATTGGCTTGAATCTGAGACATTCTCTCCATTCTCCAACTTTAATCTAATGTGCTTAACCGAAAAAAATGCATGCACCTAACTTGATACCGTTTCGAAAATTATTTCCAAAAGCTAATACGCTCTAATAAAATGCTCAAATTCTAAAATACCTCCATCAAAAGCAACTGCAAATTTCCAACAACATTCATTTGCAACGTAATTGAGTGCATGCTCACACGTCAAATTATTATCTCTGAAATTCAATTTTCATATGTTCAAACGCTCTAGATATAAAAATATTCCATCTATTTGCCATGCAGCGCAAATTAATTGCAATAATTGTGCTCTTTTGTTTCCGTTCCCATGTTTGCACATTCCACATCCCATTTGCTGGCAAATTGATTTATGCAAAAAGTTTTCCGTTCCATTCTCTTTATTTGGCCAACGGGAAAAAATAAGCAGAGCTATTAATTGATTGATTAGCATTTTGAATGGAAATATTCAATATAATTCAAAGATAAATTCCATAGAATATTTGAAATGGCTTGGCTTAGCTTGCGGCAATGGGATAGTTTATACTGTGTAAATAATATCAAATTTTGCGACGAGATGCCATGTAAATAGCAACCGGTGATTAAATAAATATTACAGGCAAACTGCAAACGATGGGGTAAGATTTTCCACCACCGCCGAAGCAATGCATACATAATAATAATCCAGACAAGGAGTGGGGCAAAAATACTAGTCAACTGAAGTATTAGTCTATATTTTGGCCGGAAGCAAGTAACATTGGCAAAGCAACCGCAAAATGCATCTCGTTAAAATGCACATTCTGATGTGTAACTTTCTAAACAGACAGACGGAGAGAGAGAGAGAGAGAGAGAGAGAGAGAGAGTCAAAGTTTAAATCAATGCAGAAAATGCCATGTTTAAAATTTAATTCAATCACTTTTGTATATTTTTAATTAAAAGAGAGAAAATTTCATTACGATTTTCTGAAAAATTATTATACACCGAGAATGACTTTGTAGTTTGTCAACAATATTTTGGTTTGGTGATGTGCACAAGTAAATTATTTCGAATATTCTCGTTCGAATCAAAGTTCCATTTACCTTTGAAGTGACCATCCATGAAATTACCGCAAAGCTAATTATTTTCATGCGAAGCATACAAACCAAAGACATTCTCTGGCGCACGCAATATCTTTGATACTAAACCAGAAATGGAAATGACATGCACATAAATTGATTTTTGAATTTTGTTTATTTATTTGAAATGAAACTTAATATCACATTTCTGTGATTTACTTATGGTAGATCTATTGTTATTATCTGGTCACTAGGAATTGAGGGTTGAACATCATCTTTGCAAAATTTAATTAAATTTCAGTAGACATATCAATTGGAACTTTCAGCCCATTTAAAGCGATATGCCACTGAAGGAAATACACCGATCAATTGAATTCATTTTCGATTCAAACGCCAACAAAAGTGCTCTAGCACATTAACCTTAACAATTCTTGAACATTAGATTTGTACAAAGTGCATCGATCGTGCATATAACACTTGATTCTTCCTGTTGTGTTTATGGATAGACTATAGCAAATCATCTTAAGTTAAAATAAATCATCTTAAGTTTTTCCACTCTTAAAAAACCCTATTTGTTCAACTAATTCGACCATCAGAAAAAAAACAAACAAGAAAAACAAATGAAAATATCAACTTGAATAAATTTCTAAACTTAAACACAAGCGATAACCAAATTCGAATGATAACAAAAATTAAGCTATTACTTTCTTCGCCATGGCCGACATCAATGGTGCAATTTCACCGTTGAAATACTCGAAGTCAACAGTTATCATGATGGATTTTAGTGTGTCAAGATGTTGTTTTAGCACAGTCTTTATGTAATCCTCGGTGTTGATGGCCAGTAGTTCATATTCAAAGAGGCTTAACACCAGCTCCAGCATGATGTACATCAATTGCATCACGTCAACGGATTCAATGAATGTATCCAATCGAAAATCGCGATGGTCTTCGTAGATGCGTAGTTGGCATTTGCGACGAAAGTAGACCGGTGACAAGGCCAAACACAATTTCTTCTTGCCCAGCGCATCGAACAACAGTGCATCTTTCACAATCTGGAAATGTAACAATTTTCTCAAGCCCTTTGTAATTTCATCATTGACGTCGCGCAGTTTTACGATAGCTTTGGTCGCATTTGCATACGCTTCGTCGTCGTTCACGTTTCGACCTTCGGTCTTAGCACTGTTTATTTCACGTAACTCGGCCACTGTTGCACTTTTCGATGCAAATTGCTTCTTTGTTTCGACGATAAGGCGATAAATTTCGAATTCGGCTCGTGCATCGCATACAACAACACTGTCCTTTGATGGTTCTGCATTCAGTTTCACCAACTGATCATCTCGCTGATTTTCTCGCAGCACGTTGTAACAACGACGATACTTTTCCAGGTCAATGCGTTGCTGTTCCACAAATTTCGCAGAAAATCTACGTGTTTTCTGCCCTAAAAGCAATTTGCGAATTTTACGCCATTCAACCATGGTCAGAGAACACGATTCTAACGATGGAAATTTGTCTGATACAATGGACTCGAATGACTTGCTCTTGTTTTGCTTGAAAAAGGCATCTTCGACGGCATCGTACTCGAATTCATAACGCAACCACTTCCGTGACAAAGAATGCCGCAACAAATTCTCGATGCGTGAATACTGAACCAACACACTCGAGGGCAATTCAATCGCCGGCGATTTCTTCTTGGAATTTCGTCGCTTCGATTCCATGCTTGGCTGTTGGATAGAAGAACAAAGTTTTTTTTTTGGTTAATTTTAGGCTTTGTTTTTGAAAAACCAAATAAAATTGGAATTTCGACAGACGAAAAGTTTTAAACAACGGAATTTATTTTGTACGGAGATTGTTCCTCCACTATTTGTTGAATAGGGACGAAAAATCAGCAAAGAATAGAAAAAGAACACATACAAAATGAGCTGCCAAAACACACAAACCAACAACAACAAAAACAATGCGGAAATTGAGAGCAATTTTCTCACTCTCCTTCGTACTAACCATAAAATATGCACACAAAATTCACGAACAAACGAGTTGAAACGGGCAATCGCACTTGAGTTGCTGTTGTTCAAATTCGATTTCGTCACAATTAAAATTTTATCACCAACAGTTTATTCAGCGACAACGACGACGACGACGACAGATGAAAAACAAAGAAAACAAACAGCGAATTCGTTGCCAAAAGAACCGAGACGATGTCAATAATATGTGATTGCCGAAACAATTTATTTATTAATGCGCTTTCGGATGTGACATCTCAGCAGAATAGCTGAACGGTGAAGTGTGTGTATTGGCGTGTCAGTGCAGGCACAGTCACACAAACGCTAACCCGTCGTACGTTTTGTTTTTTTATTCCTTATAACTCTGTAAACAAAGTCACAATGTTGCTCGTGCATTCGAATGTGTTTGTGTATTTATTCATGATGTGGACAAGTGTGCCATGGGTTTTAATGCTCGGTGAGAGACAGAGACGACAGCGCGTTCTCATCTCTTATTCGCAATTGAGACGAGCTGTTTGTTTTTTCTCGCCTAATAACAGCAACTGAACGGAATATAGATTTTTTTTCTGCAGCCATTGCTGTTTGTGAACCGATTAAATCGATGTTGACTGCGTTATTCCGGTTGTGACACTCACTAACAAAATACATGAGAGGAAAAAAAGACCGTCGTTTATGTCTTAAACCCACATCTTGAGCGAAATTAAATATTTACGGCAGCGCCGTTTGTCGAGGCCAAACTTGCGATATTTTTTTTTTTGAATCATTATGTCGAGTGGTGTGAATAACAGCGGACTCGCTGTTGAATGATTAGTTATTGTCATTTATACGATCGATTCAGTGTTCAATAAACATTTATGTTGGCATGTACAATTTGGATGTGCACAGAGCGAGAGAGACATAGACACATATGGAAAAAATGAATGCGATAGACATTTTTCATGTGACGATTGGCATGTTTGTAAGCGACATACATTTAAAATTCATTTTGAAGCCGCAATTCACATAACAGTTAAAAGAATTAATTGACTGTGTCGAATTTATGATATTAAATCGACCAAACGCATTTCGGCTCGACGATATAACCCTTACCCTTAGCATAAACCGAGAAAAAATGAATTGCAATTTGAAATTCGCTGGAATTTGTCATGGCTTTAATTTTCAGCAATTAATGTGTAACAGCGGTCATTCACACTATGTGACATAGGCATTCAATTCTCCTCCACTTTTTTCTATCTCTCTCCTCTACGTATCGCGCACGTCAGGCAAGAGAATGGAAGTGATACCATTGAAAATTTCTAATTAAACAGATTGATAATTAAATCTCGTCATTAGCCTGGCATTTTAGAATTGCTAGCCATAATAGTCGATGCTTGCCAGCAGCATCAGCCCCATCAGATCGATAGTCATGCTTTGACTTTGGCACAAAAGGAATGTGAAAGCGTCGAGCAGGAGCAAAATTCAATTTTCGACCAGATGATCTCAATAATGATGCGACAATTTTATGCCATTCAACGTCCCCTAATTTTTCCACTAGCTATTTGCTTTTGTTTGATCCCAAATCAGGAGAGAGAGGGTATCATCACTTTGCCATTTGCACACGCCACACTCGCCTCGTTGTCGAACTAATTTACTCTTATCTCTTGCTCTCTGTGAGTGTGCTCGAGCAGGTTTTTTTGGTATCTTTGTTTTTTGGGTAGCCGGGTGTGTTTTTTTTCTCCCTCACCATCTCATTGTCATTGTCGCGCGTTCATCTTTATAATCCCATAATATTTTCAATCAGATAACGCACACAACCGCTGATGATGATTGTTTACATTTCGTGCGGTTTTTTTTTCGTTGTTGTATTATTCCACTCTCTCTCTCTCTCTCTCTCTCTCTCTCTCTCTCTCTCTCTCTCTC